TCGGTGTTCTAATGTCTCCAATTATCGTACATTCATTACATTAAGCTCTTGCGGTTCCGAGTTTTACCATGTTAATACCCGAGCTCTCATTTTGCCTACTCTTACGTCGTATAAGCAAATGCCAAAGGTCGACCACGAGCTATTCCCTCACTTGCGAGATTTACAATTAGCGGATGCGGATCCATCTAACCAAGACCGTATTGACTTATTGATAGGCGCGGATATCTACGGTTCTATCTTATTAGAGGGGTTACGCAAAGGTTCTGAAACAGAACCAGTTGCCCAGAGAACCATCTTCGGCTGGGTCATATTCGGTCCTTACAGTTCCATTAGGAATGTGGACCAGACTACTAGTCTGCACGCCACGGTGTCTCCTTCGGTGGACGACGAACTTCGCAAATTCTGGGAGTTAGAGGAAATTTCCTTTAAGCGACCGCTAACTAAAGAAGAAGAATATTGCGAAAATCTTTTCGTTTCAAGCCACTATCGACGCCCCGATGGGCGATATGTAGTCAGACTGCCCTTCAAAAGGGATGCTGTAACTGAATTCGGGAACTCTTTGCAGATTGCAGTTAAATCTTTGATTCGTCTAGAAACTCGTCTGTCGAGAGACCCTGCCTTACATGAGGCCTACAATCGTTTCTTAACTGAATATGAGCAACTTGGGCACATGGCTCGAATCACGCCTTCAGACCAAGTTGGAAGTTCGACGTTCTACATGCCCCACCATCTTGTTCTTCGCGAAGCTAACAGTACAACCCCGCTGCGAGTTGTGTTTAACGCTTCCAGCCCTACTAACGTCGGTTTTTCTTTAAATGACCAACTCCTAGCAGGTCCTAAGTTACAAGAGGATCTTCCTTCTATACTCTTACGTTGAAGATGCTTCCTTATAACGCGGAGATTAAGCTAGAAACACGGTGTAAAACTGTGCCCGCTCGCGTCCGAGGGCCGTTGCCCGCTCGCGACCGATAACGAGTGGCAGAGCAGCGTGCCTCTCCTCCTGAATCTCACTATCACTGTCACTATCCTCTATAACTTCAAACTCAAAGTTATCAAAATCAAAATCAAAATTGTAAAATTTCGCGATACTAATGTTCAGCAGCACCTGCCCGCGTCCGATACCGAGCGTCCGCTGACGCGGGAGACGCAGCGGGCCTCTCCCCCTAATCACCGGCAAAGTCGTTAAAATTAAAATCATTCAAATCTGCAACACTTCCCTCAATTTCACTCGTTTTAACGTATTTAGCCTCGTACAGGGGAAGGTTTGGAGGCATCACAAAATCAAAATAATTTTAAAAAATTACACAAAAAAACAATCACAAAGGCGTCACTAATCCTCAAAAAATATTTCCGGGGCGAAACACGTTTAAGCACGCTTGCGGCCACGACGAGACTAAATTCAACGGCGGTTATAATGGAGGTGGGTAAAAAGTCGCCAGAGAGAAGAGATATAATAACAGTTTTTACAACGACGATAAGGGCGAGCGTCGAGGTTTGTTGGAGCATCGGCACCACATAGGCGAGCGTCGCCGTAGCATCGCTTCATAGTTTACAATATACGATACCTTAAATTTTAAGTGGCCCGAGTGGTTCGAGTCGAACGTCGCATATACGGCTCGAATGGAAATGCGTGTGAAGAAATTAAATTATGATTTATATTAAAAAAAATACATTTTTTATTCTTCTTTTTTTACATATTTTTTGTTTTTACGTACTACGGTAGCGCACTAAAAAATAAAGCTGCGAGCTCACAATCGACGAGCTGATGTTTATCGAAGGCATCGCTATCGCGTATTACATTCAATACTTGCGTAGGATCCGTTACAGTGGACGCGATTTTGGAGAATTGCGTGAACTTGACATCGACCGTCTCGACAATTCTACTCAATCGATGGAACATCGCGTCGATGCACAGATCAGGATCGAGCATACGGTGTAACGTCGATTCGGCCATCGTTAAGCGTACGTTTAAAGACTCGAGACATACGAATTTGACACCGTTAATCGTACAAATTCACAATGTTAGCGGTCCAACGCTTATAAAATCACATTTTTACAATATCTTTACAGCATCGAAGGAAATTCTGAATGTTCCGTCGTTGTTTGTAGAATCCCTTCCACGTTTCGAGGGACAGTATCAATTCTGTTCCTCGATGATCTCCTATGGCGAACTCCACGTAACACGGTGGACCCACGTTAACGCCAATTTTAAGGAATTTGTATCCCGTAGCCGTCAACGCGTATCGTCTGCTGAGTATACGAACCGCGCGACGCTTGAACGAAATGCTGTAAAAAATAACGAAATTAGTAATAAAAAATAATACAATTTACAATTTGCAATTTAAAAAAATATAAAGCTTTATAATTTAAGAAAGAAAAACAAAAAACTTACTTGTTACACTTGTTTTCGTACGATGGAGTTTCATCATCATCATCATTATCATCGTGAATCGGTACGTAATAATTCATACGTCTACTGCCACTGTTACCGCCGTTGCTTCCTTCAACGGAATACATTCTTTCTCGGTTATGAGAAGTGAACACCGTTCACACAAGCAATCGATACGAGACTAGTCGTATAAAATTAATCGAATATACGCGGCAACTTCCAAAACTATGATGAAGGAGGGGGAAATTAATGTTTCTGGAACGTGCAATCAGCGCTCTGAAATTTAAGAGAAGGGACTAAGGTAGGATGTTTTTTTTTATTAAGACGTATTCCCTCCCACCCCCATTCTTTCTTTCGCATGACATCAACCGCGAAACATGTTCAGACATGTTCGCTGAAACCCGATACCCCCCTCGAAGCTATCGAGTTAGAATTCGTCACGTATACCTACTTATTCTTTAATTTTGTACACTATCGACTAATGGGGGAAAGAAAATAAAACATTGTAAAATTTACACATACATATAAATTTTTTTTTAATTGACAATTTTTTTTGGCGTTTCAACCACCAGTTAAATATTTTTAATACATTCTGCAACGCGCAATTCTTAACGTGTTTTTTACATCGCATAGTATTGGTAGCATCTAGAATATTTAAAGATTCGATATCTTTGTAATCCACATCCAGAGTCTCGGTGTTTAGGTCTTTTCTCGCTTTATTCTCAAGCAGATCCACCGGCCATTCTCGTTTCTGGCATCCCTTGACGTACACGAGAGTCGACATGTCGTCGTCGTCGTTGTCCTCTTCCTCACCGAGCACGGCTGATGTAATTAAACGCTTTACCTTGCTGTACGGCACGTTTCCGTCTTCCCATTATAATCCATGGTGATTGCGAATCAACCAGGAAGCGCACGATTTGTGGGATTTTGTGAGGAGATTCCACGGCATGGGGCATGTAAAGATGTAATGCGCCAGAACGGCCCCGTTTCTCAGCACCACCGCCTCCTTCACGACAAATTTCATCCCGACGACGAAACCTTACAGGCCGATGAACGTTGGTGCGGACATGAAAAAATATCTCTCTCTTCGATGCGTAAATCGAGAGAAATGACGCGCGTTTCGCGACACTCTGATTTTTATATCCTGCTCCCTTTTTTTTCCCCTCTCATAAATTTGTATCGGGAGTGAAAGGAGAGAAAATATTTCCGTCGACGTTGCGGCGAACACTCAGACTATTTTGCGCACCACGTTCGTCAACGGGTTGTACTCAATCACGTGGTCGTGTATGATGAGACAGTACGCGGAGGTATTCGGCGGTACGTTCTCCATGCAATCGAATTCTAGTCTGACATTCACGGTGGCATTTTTGACGGATTCGTTTTGTCGAGAGCAATCGATGATCACGGGTCGTTACGGAGAAAAGTCGAAACGGTGAGACTCGGCTCGAGATATTCGTATCCGTAATAGCCCTTGCAGAAACGCGCGTACATATCGTACATAATAACCCATCTGTGTTTACCAAAGTCCAAATTAAAGTCGTCGTACGGATAGACTTCCGAGTTTAGGTAGAGTTTCACGTTGGTCAGTTTGCAGTCGTCGAATCGGCTCGTGTCCGCGGACATGACGTTCTTCCGACCCGTTTGCAGAGCGAAGACGACGTATCGCGGTTTCTCGAGCTGAGTCGCGGTCTTAATGGCCCACGAGTGCTTGGTCGTGTTCTGCAACAGGGGATACTCGTACAGATCCCACGAACGGAAACCCATACTTAGATATCGTCCGTTTTCCAAGGCGCGCAGCATCGACAGCTTGTTGACCTCGCTCAATACCACGTGAGGCATTCGCCACTGTATCTTGAGTAGTTTGACAGTAGGCTCCAACGCGAGACTTCCCAACAGACAATTGTTGTCGGTGCGCGATCGTATCAAGATTAATTCGTGACGAGCGTTG